ATGATGCTGCTTGGCCTGCTGTGTTCATCCAGCCCTGCACCTTGTTGTCTCGGATTCTCCAGCATCTGCAGTTCCTACTATCTCTAGACCAGATTATAGCTGATTTTACCAACTGCATTGACACCTACCCTTCAGGTCACATTTTAGGAATCAATATCATGTGGTCTCTGTGGTTGGGAAGTATATTATAATTGCTAGAAGCAGAAAACTAAATATTTACTGAAAACATTTTTACAATTACTGTCATATTTTGTTTACAGTTAATGCAGAACTGATTAAGATCATTCAATTAGCTACAAAGACTGAATATAGTACATGAACAATAATACTGGTTGATTTTTTTGAATATTGTAAAACAATCAGGGTTGCTAACTTGGAGTTATTATGCTTTTTTTAAGCATTTTTTAAGAAACCTGGAAGCATAGAAAATAGTAGCAGGAATAGACCATTTGGCTGATCATCCAACTCAGTGTCCTGTTCCTGCTTTCTCCCCATACTCTTTCAATCTTTTACCCCAAGCACTATGCCACCCCCATCTGTGCTTTGTGAATTTCACAACCTGCTCCTGCATCACCAATTTCCATCCTTTACAATTTGGTCCCCTGTACCACTTTGGTATTAGGGTTGAAGAAGAATAGTAACGCAGGCACAATTAAAATACTTTGATGAATCAAATATTTGTCATTTTACCTAACAACTTCTGTGATCAGCTTCTGCTTTATTCTTACTCAAAAGATTGTGGGGATGTCATTCTGTGTTTTTGATTCATTTATATATGGAAGATCTTGTACCTTACAAATGTGCCGTGTTAAAAAAAAACAGCTATCATCAATTGTATACTTTATAACAGTTTTGAAACACATGATATAAAAATTGGGAATCTACATCTAAACGAAAGGTTCACCTGTGTGACTCTTTTTATGGTAATTATCAACTGTTTACCATATTAATTAATGATGGGATAAAGTTACATTCTGTAATCATTTTACTGATGACACAAAAGATAGATGGCATTATAATAGAGTAGACAGCAGCATAAAATTACAAAGATGTTAAAAGATTAAGTGAACAGATAAAACTGCGAAAATGGATTTCAATATACGCGTGTGATATCCATTTTACAATTGTGTCTGTATCCAAAAGTCAACCTGATTTTTTTTTCAACAGATGCTCAATGAACTGTGATCTGTTTCTAGCATTTTCTGCATTTAAAAAAAATAGTGTGATACAAGTTGTGTCATGCAAAATCTATTCGAGTTTCAGTACATAATGGATATTTGAATTGTTGGCAATATTAGGGACTCTGACATTACGCTTTTAATTTGTAACATTATGTAATACAAATGTCAAAGACTAATATTTCTGTTTGAGATTTTACTCATGTAAAATTAATTTTAAAACACACATTGCAACAATTAATGTTACATACTTAAAGCTTCATATAACTTAGAAAATTAAAGGTTAACAAACATCTTTGAAAGAGTACAAAAAAGTGCAAATAAAATTGCAAGATACATGTGAAATGTTTTATATTAAAGATCTTGGCTTCAGAACTGAATTCTTTCAGTCTTTAAAATCCACTTCAACACATTGTAAGAGTGCTTTGTGGTTAAATAAGTGTCACAACCTACAGATAACATGCACAAATGATTCATCCCATTGGAAAAATTGTATTGGTTTAATTGCACTGATGAATATAAGGAAGAAAATTAATCTGGAATACCCAAATAAAGTAGAAAATAATGTTTGAAAGTTAGCAGACTTCAAACAAAAACTCTAACGTAACAAAATGTCTGTTTAAGACAAATATTTAACTTGCTGTATGGTGTAGAAATGTTCCTGGTGGTCTTTAAGAATCTCACTTTCCTTGCAGCTCTTAACTTACTGATCGCCCTTTCAGTCCACCACACCATTGTTGTGTACTGATCTTCAGCACTCTTATTTTTTGTTTATAATGGTATTCCTTCAAGTAGGCTTTCAATGGTGGTGGCACAGGAAGAGCATCAATTCCTTCATAGGTTGTAGAGCTGCAAATTACAGCTCTGCAAAGGCGCTGAAGTGAAAATGGAAAAGTCCTGTTCAATGGAAGTGACAACAATGGTTCAAAGAACATACAAGAATTTGGGTCCCTATAATGTTCCAAAAGGCCAGTTACACTTGGTGCATGAAAAACACAAGGATCATGGGCATCAAAGCTGAAGTTATGATTCCACTGTTCAATTCTAGCATGGAGAGAGCGGCTGTAACGTCTAAAACTGACAGAGAAGAGATAGTCCTCTTGAGCAGAGTCTCTGAGCAAATATGTACCTTCTGGTTTACCTTCTAAAAGAGCCTCAGCTCCATACCTATCCATTACACCCCAGTAACACGGATTATTACTGATCCAAAATAGATCTGGAACTAAGCGGTAGATATAGCCAAACTCGGCATGACGTTTGTAAAAGGGTGCTAGCCAACTGCAATTATTCTCAAAATCCAGTTTGATAGTATTCTGATTTTCAGAATCTGTGAAAAGAGCCATCAGCTCCTCTTCAGAGTCTGAATCGTTCAAAGGAAATGTTGTGCTATTTTCACATGCTAATTCATTTGTTCTTTGCTCCAATTCTGAGTTCTGTTTATGTAAAGTATTAGTCTGAGAAATCACTTCAAGTGAGACAATTTGTGCATCTGGAGGGTCTGCCTCTAGTTCAATACTCATTTTGGATCCTTCTTCTAACTCGTGTTCATCAAATCCCACCTCGGAGCCTTCCCAGACTCCACAGCTTTGAGTAAATGGAATGGTATGCCAATTAATCAAGTGCCATTTTTGAGCCAGGTCAGAACCATTAGGAAATGGACAATTATCAACCAGCAGATCACTAATGTGGATTTTACTTTTAGAACTTAAAGCGGAGCTTTTATGATTATGGACCTTAAGAGGAAAACACTGAGCTACTGCATCCTGAATCTTTTGCTTCAGTGACCGACTGGAGAGCTTGCGTGAACATGAATCTTCAGGATTCGGCTCATGTCCAAGACAGCCCAATTTTCTCTCCCTTCTTGAAGCAGTTGATGATATCCCAGTAACAGCCCCCACTTTTCTGTCCAAAGTAGTCTCCATTTTGGAAGGATGTGAATGCTTCTTCCCACTCCACGTATAACCGTCCCTCCGGTCAACACTTTTCATTTGGTTGACTTTAGGTTTTACATCCAAGTTTTGAGATGCTGCTCCTCTTTGTTGTGACATATTTTTAAAGAACTATGAAACTTGAAAATTGACATGCAATTCAGTTAATTCAGGATCTCTGTTGTTCTTTGAATAACATAATGATTTCTCTGGTTTACATTGGAGTTAGTTCATCCGGCAGCTGCACACACCATTCCACTGTGCTTCTTCAAATGAAAACATCTGCAAAAAAAAAGAGAACTTCATTCTTAAATAATGATGTGGAAATATGACTGGATCTCAGGTCAACTTGATTCAACTTTCCCTTCACAAACTCATTCCTCCCTACCATTAGAATCGCAAGCCCCAGTAAACTCCAAAAACTTGGTCTTCCTTCAATTCTGCTGTTCAATGCATCTCTCTCTGCCAACGTCCGATCCTTAGCTGCTAGACGTTCAGCTGTATAAGGTTTAATCTGAGTATTTCCTCACTGAACCTCGCACCTCAAAGTTGCTCCTCGAAAAAAGATTTTAGTCAACCTTTAGCATCAATTTTTGTCTGATTATACTTCTGTATTAATATGTTACATTAATACAAATTGCAACTGTTGAGTATACAATCTAAGCTGATGCTACCACCCATCTTTTACATCTGCCAGAAAGGATTCATGACTCATCTGAAAGACATAAAATGTGCATCCCTCCCTCTGTATTAAGAGAAACAACAGACTAGATTCTGTACGCAAGCTTCTATTGTGGGGCTTGAACCCATGATCTTTGACTAAAAGACAATAGTGCTACCAGTGAAGCAAAGCTGGCACTAAATAAATAAATCAAAAATAAGATGTTTTAACAAATATTATCCAAAGAAAACTAAAATAAATAGATAACAGAAAACAAAGTATCACAGCTTGAATAATGTTCACACTTATAACATGCCACTCAAGGTATGCAATGATTTTAGCTATGCTTTTGTCTGAAGATTGTAAGACAAGATAATGTGCTTGATATCCAGTGCTGCTGTTAATAACAGGAAGGTCAAAGATATTTAAGATAAAGCAGATAGATCATAGAATTGGTGAATACCAGAACAAAAATCAGATGGATTCTGTAACATAACGCAAAATACTCTGTCACATTACCATCCACTCGAAGATGAAAATTTCAACTGGTAATTCACAGCTTTTAGAAATAAAAGCACCTCAACAGTGACCTTAAAGATTTGCAACTTTTATGTACTCAAGGCCTGAACCAGCAACCCTGAAAAGTTAAACTGACCAGTCATTTATGACATCACCACTTGGTTGATATTCCCATTTCTCAAGCTTAATCTAGGTGAAGTGCCAAGATGTATTTCATGGATATTTCTACTCGTAAGCTTAGCTGTGTCACATGCAAGTGAACTCATTTTGGGATAAATTACAAGAATCTACATGGTTAAGAGGTGAATTAGTCAAAGTTTTGAAATATTGAAGAAAACAGATAGGTAGATAGAAAGAAACAAATCTGTTAGTTAAGCAGTGTAGCACTGAAGAATAGAGTCAAAAAATTGGGAACTAAATTAAGGATCACTTCTTCATGATAGAGGTTTGGAACTCCTAGTCGCAAATAGGAAATGACTGCAGATCAACAGTTAAATTTAAACTAGAGATTGCCACATTATTGTTAGCTAAAGGCATCAAGAATTATGGGGTAAAAGTTGATAGATGAAGTTAGATTGCAGATCAGCCATGATTACTGAATGGTGAAACATGCTTATGGGCCGAAACGTTTTGCTCCTGCCCATCTGTTTCTGTCAGTCATTATTCAAGTCTCCACAAACTGCTTATGTCCCACAATGGACAATAACTGTAACAAGTTGATTATTGACTTTATAAAACTGCTACTGAAATGATTATTTTGTAGTTAGTTTCCTTTGCAATAGATTTTGTAAAAATATTAAACAAATAAGATGTCAATTTTTAAAAACATACCTTTTAAATAGAAGATATAGCATTTTCACTGCTTTCACCAACCATATCAGCAAGTTGAGAACATTGCAATATTCCCATACACCGTACATTATGGGTGCTGATACAAACATGCCAGATATGAAAAACTGTCTGTAATGTCTGCTCAATTGATTGTTTAACATTCTAAGGTATGATATTATAAAATAAAGCATACCACAAAACATGTCTTTGACTTTAAGAACTAATTAGGTAATTTAAATAAAGATTACTGCAATTATTCCTGTAAATCCAAAACAATATATTCAGCATTCATTGTTAATTCTGTAAATGTCATGTGATTATACCGTTTATGGCCGTTTTGGCATATGATCTGAAAATCCTCAACGACAAACTAAATAATACTCAAACACGTGCTAGAAACCAAGGAAAAGAACATCAAACACCTCAAGGGCTTCAAAACTGGTATAGATTGAACACACTTTGGATTGCATTTCGATCTGATAAACAAATCTGCTATGCTAGATTAGTCAGAAGAGTAATAAATCTCAGCAATTTCGTGGGCATCTCAATGCTGAAACAGGAGAACTGTTGACCTTTCCATTTGGATAGTTAAGATAGACAGTCACATTTAGTCAATACCATGTGAGTTGGAAGAACACAGCAGGTCAGGCAGCATCAGAGGAGCAGGAAAGTTGACATTTTTGGTTTACATCCTTCATCAGGACTGGGGAAGGGGAAGGAGCTCGGAAATAAATAGAGGGGTTTGGGGCTGGGAGAAGTTGGGTGGGATGGTGATAGGTGGATGGAGGTAGGGGATAGTGGAGATTGGTCAGTGGGAAAGAAGATGGACAGGTTGTGTCAAGTCAAGGAGGCGGGGATGAGCGGGAGAGTTGGACATGGGATGAGGGTGGGTGTGGGGAGATTTTAAAACTGGTGAATTCTATGTTTTTATGCATTTAGGTTAGATACGGATAAAGGCCTGATGTATTTTTGCACAGTGCTTAAATTCGAGTTTTGTGAAACATAAAGTGAATGAAGTTATACCAATAATCCCACATAAAGATGAAGTCTGGGAAGTGGGCATTCAACATGTTTTTGTACTTACACTAGTAGGGAAGAACAAGATGTTGCCAAAAATGGAGGGTTTGATTTATAGAGGTTTATAAAATGACAAAGGGTATAGAGAAGAGAATGGCGGTGTCTTTTCCTTAGGTTGGCCGATTTCAAGATTAGGGAGCATATTTTTAAGGTGGGAGGAGAAAGATTTAAAAAAAGACATGAGTGGTTTGTGAGTGGAATGAGCTTCCAGAGGAAGTGGTGGATGCAGGTACAGTTACAATGTTTAAAAGACATTTGGATAACTATACGAATAAGGAAGGTTTGGAGGGATAATGGGCCAAGCATGGGCAAGTGGGACCAGCTCAGTTTGGGATTATGGTCAGCATGGACTGGTTGGACCGAAGAGTCTGTTTCCGTGCTGTGTGACTCTACAACTATGACTCTAAGTAAAAGGGGCAGCGTCCATTTATATCAATGACTTAGGGAGCACCAGTTCCGTGATATTTTCTTTACAGATCCAACTCAACACAAGTCACTCAGCTCCAAGAAAGAACTACAGTGTATTACTCTTCATTTGTGGATGAGTTAGAACAAAATTTTATCCTGGTAACAACAATTTTGAAATGAGAAAAAAGAACATGAAGACTCTACTCTGTATTCATACAACTGGTAGTAACATAGCGCTTAGTCAGGGACGACCAAGTTAGGTGAGGCTGGATTGTGTTTTCGGGCGGTTGTGGCTGGGCTGGATTTGGTGGGGGGCAGGGTCAGGCTGGGCTGGGTTTGAGGTGGGGTGTGAAGCTGGGTTGAGTTCAAAGAGCGGTGTGAGGCTGGAGTAAGTTTGAAGAGGGTGGCGGGGTGGTAAGGTGGGTTTGAGAAGCGGGTACAGATGTGCATGTCACTCCATCCACACTGCGCTGACAAACTGACAGTTATTTGTCTTGACAATTACCTCTGCCAAGCGTGCACGAGCCGGCGGTGACGGGCCCCTCGCGGTCGGTGGAGCTCTCGCGGTGACCACACCCCTTCAGTGACGTCGGCGGGGCCCCCACGTGCTCTCTGACCCGGACATTGCGTCAGGGCAAGAGCCTTGACCCTAATCCAGGATTAATGTTAGAGAGAAAAAACGAAAACCCTTTGCAACCCTAGGACTCGGTCAAAAGAGATGATAAGCGAAACGCAAATTTAACAATCTGCGTCTTTTATATTTTTCATTACTCCTTTTTTTCCTTTCCCATCCGGGATTGTCTGTGACGTGTTGGGAGCTGGCGGTTGGCGGGAAACGTGAAGTTGTTGTTCGCCATCGGCTGAATGACAGTCAGAGAGAGACAGACGCACTGCCATCACCGCTACCCACCGTGAGTCTGCAATTCACTCTCTTTTTCTCTGACTGTTCAACACCGCGGTGATTCGGGTCTCTTGAACAGTCCACCGTTTGGTGAATAAAACCCGAAAGAACTGCGGATGCTGTAAGTCAGGAACAAAAACAGAAGTTGCTGGGAAAGCTCAGCAGGTCTGGCAGCATCGGTGAAGAAAAAAAATGTCAGAGTTAACGTATTTATGTTGAATATGAGGTTGGAGGGTGGTGGGGAAGGGGAGGAGAGGTGAGTGGATAGCTGCTGACAGAGCCCAGAGAGCGATGAAGGGGCTAGGTAGATGAAGGGATTATTGATAGGGCAGGTCAGAAGAGAAGCTGAATGAGAGCTGAGAATGGATAGAATGTGCTGAAAGCACGTATGGAATGTAATAATAGGACTAAAAAAGGGTGAGAATAGGTTGCTTATGTTGAAAGCAACCCATGTCATGATAGTACCAGGGTGTGGGGTGGGTAAAAAAACATGGGGAGACAGAATCTGGCTGTAAAGATACTGAACTGAGGCTACAGGGTCCCCAAGTGGGAAGTGAGACGCTGTTCTTTCAGCTTGCACTGGTGGTGACTGGAACACCTCAGCGGGCATGCAACAGAAATGTTGGTGTGGGAACGTGATAATGTGTTGAAGTAGCAGACAACTTGAAGCTTGGGGTCATTTTCATACTTTTCTTTTGTAATTTTTCCTGTTTCAAGGAAATGAGCACATGACAGTGACAGAGTATGTTATCAATCTTCATGAGCTATGTGAATGTACTTAAACCGTTGACATCAACTTCATTTACAGACCTTTTACTGCTTTGGTAACTTTTCATCACGACCTTCCGACCAGGATGGAAGCAAGTTTTGTTCTTCATTTATCTTGATTCATTTTCACTTTGTCTAGCTTTTCTTTTACTTTGCTAATGAAGTCAGGCTCAAGCAAACTAAACCTCTCGCTTGGAGCATATTTAAACAGCAATCTATTGTAGATTGTAGGGTGATTCTGTCACAAAACTGGAAATTGTCTAGCCTGTGGAAAAAGAGAAATGTTGAAATTACTGCCTACCTTGCCACTGGGCAAAACCTTCTGCAAATACCTATTCACCATCTATAACGGTATTAAAGGTTGGATGACATTTGACTCCATTTTTACTCAAAAATATTTCAGACTCTCTGATATAAACTATGGGACATTATCTGGTCTCTAGCCTCTGACTAAATGTCTCCAGCAAACTATAAGATGCAAACTAATCTCTGAAAATGTCAGTAGCTTTGGCAATTGAAGTTCTGGGGATACATTCAACAAAGACACCTATGCCAGACTCCTGCTAATTGACTACAGCTCCACCTTCAACATGATCATCCACTCAACTCTAAGACCTTTGGTCTAGGCTCCACCCTCTGCTTTTGGATCCTCAGCTTACTGATCCACAGACCACAATCAACAAAGCTAGACAACTGCACCTCCTCCACAATAACACTCAAAACTGGAACTCTCCAAGGACGCGTCCTCAGCCCCCTACTTTACTCCCATAACTGTGTGCCAAAATTCTGAAAGAACATCATTTACAAGTTTGCTGACGACACCACCTTGGTAGGACAGATATCTAACAAGGATGAGTCAGAATACAGAAAGGAGATAGAGGGCTTGGTGATGTGGTGCAGTGAGAACAACCTCTCTCAACGTTGACAAAACTGATTGTTGACGTCAGAAAGAATGGAGGAGCTCTACGGAGCTGAGGTTGAGAGGGTGAACAGTGTCAAGTTCCTAGGAGTGACGATAACTGACAACCTATCCTGGCCTTCCCATGTAGATGTGAAGGCCAAGAAGGCACAACAATGCCTCTTCTTCCTCAGGCAGCTCAGGAAATTTGCCTGTCCATAAGGACCCTCACCAACCTTTACCGATGCACCATAGAAAGCGTACTGTCTGGGTGCATAACGGCCTGGTATGGCAACTGCTCTGTCCAGAACTGTAAGAAACCACAGAAGATTGTGTACTCGGCCCTGACCATCGCAGAAGTTAACCTTCCATCATGGACGCCATTTACACGGCTCGTTGCTGCAGAAAGGCTGCCAACATCATCAGAGACCCATCGCACCCTGGTAATGCTCTCCTACCAGTTGTTTCATCAGGCAGAAGACACAGAACCTTGAACATGTTTAGGAACAGCTTCTTTCCGGCTGTTGATCTTGCCTAGTGTATGCCCCGCGTGACGTAATCTATACGCCTCTAAGTATGTCCTTGCTTACTTTGATCTGCCTGTACTGCTCTTTACAAAGCTTTTCACTGTGTTTAGGTACACTTGACAATAAATAAATCAAATCACATTAGATTCAGCGTTTATCCGTTTGCTGTAGCTGTTGACCAAGGTACTTCTTTCCTTTTGCTTCAAAAACATGGCTTCATTTCCACAGTTTTCTTGTGGCTGACCATGGAATTGGTTGGATAATTTCACATTCTAAGACACATTTCATAACTTTTCATCCTCTACCGCACTTCCAATATATACACAGAGGTGAATCTTGCGAGGATTTTAAAGGAGAAAAAAATTGACTGCTAATGTGTGCAGCTGGCTGTGCTGGGGCTGAAGAGATGGTGGGGGCGGTCACCAAGAGGCCAAAGATACAAGACTGGTAAAATATGGTGTTGGAAGAGATTAGAAAAGTGGGGAAATATGAGGTCACAAAGTTAGTTAAATATAGAGATGAGATTTTTAAATTTGAGATTCAGAGACCAGGTACTGCTATGTTAATAAGAATATTAAGGAATTACGAAATAGTCAATGGTCTTGAAGGCGGCAGTTAGACTGGAAAAATTGAACCATTCTTGTAGATAATGTTATTTATGACTTTTCTTAAGGCCCATTGGAGCGTAGAGGCAACAACTAGTTCATGGAGGCTGGATGTGGGGCTATAGTTTAAGGGTAGAGCTGTTATGGGATGATACTGCTGAAAAGATGAAAACAAGATTTGTTTTCATATACTGCCCTTCATGACTTGAGGCACTTCACATCCAGTTGATTACTTTTTATTTGGAGTGTAGTCACCATTGTGTAATGTAGGATGAGTGGCTCAAAATTAATGTGATCACAATCAGAGCTCTTTTCGTGCGATTGTTCGAAGGATAAATATTGCCAAGACACCAGTGGAAATTTTCTTGTTGCTGCCATGGTATAGTTTACATTGACATTAAGGACAGACAGACTTGGTTTAAAGTCTGATCAAAGCGACGTGCCTCTGAGAATGAAACATTCCTGCAGTACGGCACTGGACTGTCAGCATAGATTTTTTTTTGCCCAATTCTGTGAAGTGAGGCTTGTGCCCGTGACCTTTTGTCTTAGAAGTGCTGGTGCTAAATGCTGAGCCTCAGCTGTCATTGAAGTGATATACAATTGCATGAGGGAAAATGGGTAAAGGTGGATAAATTCCTGGGACCTGATCAGGTGTACTCTAGAATGATATAGGAAGCTAGGGAAGTGATTGCTGGGCCCTTTGCTGATATATTTGTATCATTGTTATCAATGGGTGAAGTGCCAGAAGACTGGAGGTTGGCTAACGTGGTGCTATTATTTAAGAAGGATGGTAAGGAAAAGCCAGGGAACCATAGTCCGGTGAGCCTGACATCAGTGGCAGGCAGGTTGTTGGAGGGGATTCTGAGGGACAGGATTTACATACATTTGGAAAGGCAAGGACTAATTACGTATAATCTACATAGCTTTGTGCATCGGAAATAGTGTCTCACTAACTTGAGTTTTTTCAAAGAAGTGACGAGGAGGATCGATGAAGGCAGATCAGGGGGCGTTGTCAAAATGGACTGAAGTAAGGTGTTCGACAAGGTTCTGCATGGTAGACTGTAACAAGGTTAGATCACATTGAATACAGGGAGAACTAGCAATTTGGATACAAAATTGGCTCCAAGGTAGGAGACTAGTAGATAGGTGGTGGTGGACTGTTGCATTTTGGACTGGAGGCCTGTGACCAGCAGTTTGTTGCAAGGATCAGTGCTGGGTCCATTGCTTTTTGTCATTAATATAAATGATTTGGATGTGAAGATTGGAGGTATGGTTAGTAAGCTTGCAGATGACACCAAAATTATTGATGTAGTGGACAGCAAAGGAAGTTACCTCGGAGTACATTGGGACCTTGATCAGATGGGCTGAGGAGTGGCAGGTGTAGTTTGATTTAGGTAAATACGTGGGGCTACATTTTGGTAGCGCAAATCAGGGCAAGACTTAGACACCTTAATGGTTTGGTCCTGGGGAGTGTTGTCAAATAAAGAGACTTTGGAGTGTAGATTCATATTTCCTTGAAAGTGAAGTTGCAGGTAGACAGGGTAGTGAAGAAGGCGTTTGGTATGCTTGCCTTTACTGGTCAGTGGATCGAGTATGGGAGTTGGGATGTTATGCTGCAGCACTATGGGACATTGGCTAGGCCACTTTTGGAATAATGCATTCAGTTTTGGTTTCCCTACTACAGGATAGATGTTGTGAAACTTAAAAGGGTTTAGAAAAGATTTACAAGGATGTTGCCTGGATTGGAGTGTTTGAACTATAGGGAGAGGCTGAATAGGCTGCCACTATTTTCTCTGGAGCATTGGAGACTGTGAGGGTGAGCTTATGGAGGTTTACAAAATGATGAGGGGCATGGATAGGATGAATAGCCAAAGTATTTTCCCCAAGGTAGGGGAGTCTAAGACTAGAGGGGATAGGTTTAAGGTAAGAGGGGAAAGAATACATGGGAACCTGAGGAGCAACTTTTTTTTTACATAAGAGGTGGTATGCATATGGAATGAGCTGCCAGCGGAAGTGGTTAAGGCAGGTACATTAACAACATTTAAAAGGCATTTGCATGAATACATGGATGGAAAAGGTTTAAAGGATATGGGCCAAGTGTAGGGAGATGGGGTTAATGTGGATGGACATTTTGGTTGGCATGGACTAGTTTAGGCTGAAGGGACTGTCTCCGTGCTATAGGACTCCATGACTCTAAGAAAGATGGGTCTGGTAAAGTGCCCTGACAAACATAGTGGGAGGTAATGCACAGTCGTTGGACGAGACCCATCAATAGTGTGGTATGGAAGGTGGCAATAGTTACAAACCTGTCTGAAATATTACTTCTTTGGAATGTTATTTTTCTTTTAATTAGGTCAAAGCAACCCAAGATGCCAGTTGAGAGAAAACCAATGCGGTATGCTCACCCGGATGGATATACAGGTGTTTGTTTTGATGAAAGTGGAAGGTAAGGTACCTTGTTGTAGGCTGGCCTGGTTGAACTCCATGTCTTCTTCCTTTTGTTTTTAACTAAACTTGCACTGATATTTTATGAAGCTTTTTAGTTCAGTTATAACTCGGGGATAAGCAGATCATCGTTATTTGACACCTTTTCTCAACCATAGAGGTTGAGAGTAACTTGGAAATTCTTCGTTTTCTATCTTCTCCCAAGTATCTCAATTGAAATCAGAACGTTAACTCCTTGGGTCTGCTGCACCATGCATTAAGATTATGGAAAACCTTCTGCATCAATTCCACTTTCTTGCCTAATTCCCATATTCCTATATTTCCTCAGTGCCCAAAAATCTATTGATCACCGACTTGAATCTCTGCCAAGGGATACATGGCTATGGGCCAAGTGTTGGAAAATAGGATTAGAATAGTTAGGTGGTTATTTTTGACTGGCACAGTCTTGATGTGCTGAAGGACTTTATCTGTAGACCTCTATGGAGGTGTTCAATGACTGAGCCCCTAGATCTCTTGGGTAGAGAATTTCAATGATTCACAACCCTTTGAATGAAGAAATTTCTCCTCATCACTAAATGGGTGACATTTATTCTGAAATTATGACTTGTAATTTGACTGTTCCACCTGAGGATACAACCTCTCAACAATTGCTTTTATCAAGCCCAAATAAGCATTTTATATGTTGCAAAGAGAATGCCTATCATTATTCTAAATGGCAGAGAATGTAGGCCCAATCTGCTTCATCTCTCATAGGACTGCTTGGTTTTTTTTTTAATTCACTTGTGGACTATGGGTGTGGTTGGCTGGCTAGCATTTGCCCTTGACAAGGTGGTGGTGAGCTGCCTTCTTGAACTGCTGCAGTTCACCTGTTGTCGTTGACCCACGATGCCAATAGGGAGGGAATTCCAGGATTTTGCCCCAGCGACATTGTTAGAATGCCGATGTATTTTCAAGTCAGGATAGTGAGTGGCTTGGAGGGAAACTTGAAGATGATGGTGTTCCTATATATCTACTGCCCTTGTCCTTCTAGATGGCAGTGGTGGTGGGTTTGGAAGGTGATCTCTATGGATCTTCAGTGAATTCCTGCAATGCATCTTGTAGATAGTACACATTGCTGCTACTGAGCGTCAGTGGTGGAGGGAGTAGATACTTGTAGATGTAGTGCCAATCAAGTGGGTTGCTTTGTCCTGGATGGTATAAAACTACTTGAGTGTTGTTGGAACTGCATCCATCCAGGCAAGTGGGGAGTATTCCATCACACTTCTGACTTGTGCCTTATAGATGTGGACAGGCTTTGAGGAAACTCAGGAATCAGCCCTTTTATCTCTGGAATCTTTGTTGCAATCTCTCAAAGGCAAGTAATTCTTTCATTAAGCTGAAGAAATAAAACTGTACACAAAACTCCACACATGGTCTCCTCAGAGTCCTGTTTAAATGCATTAAGGGGTCCTTATGCCTGTGATGCCACCAACTTTTCTCTTTCCTGATGAATCATCACTTTCACCAGCATCAAACATGAAATACTCATTTTAGTGTGCTGAATGGACTTGAGAAACTCCTGCACTGCCCGGATCTGCTAGACATATAGGTAGTCACCCATTCCCTAGCTGCCTGTGCACTTTCACCTGCAATGTAATCACTTCTCTAAACATGCTAACCACTATTGCAGGTGCACAACAGTGACGAGCCCAGAGTTTATAACTTGTGATCCGGGGACACTTCCTGCATTTATGCTTGTCTGGCACAAGTGGTGTGTCCATGACTTCAAATTATATCGCAGAATGTACACTCCACTTGGTCAAGCTGACCTGCCATCCTGTAACTGATAGAAAATCTTAGCAATGCTCATCAATTAGCTGCTTCTCCTGTATTGAAGCAAAAACCAACTATAGAAGACAGCTTCCAGTGCAGACTCTCTGCTCCAGCTGTTTTAAGTATCTACAATTCATTTGCCTTTCTAAATGTTTACTATAACTGTATGTTAACTCTGTGATTTAACTTTATATAAGGACACCCAAATATCTCTTGAAAGGGTGAGTTCTATCCTTTATTTCCTCTTAGACAAGATGAGGTGTGCATTTCTTTCTTTAAATGTTTAATCATGTATGTTCTGGAAGAGTTGCTCATCAAGAAAATGGTGTGCAAATCAAATTTGTGTCACAGAAACAAAGGTTTTATTCCAGTTTTATAGATAACAAACTTCGAATCAACTATTTCTTCAGATAATTTCCAATCAACATGTTACACTTTACTCACTCCTATCTCTACCCGTTTGTTTTTACATAGTTTACATTCCATGTTGGTACACGTGACTATACTATCCAATCATATTTAACAATTTACACATGATTATTATCCAAGCATGTCATCAAACAGAGGGTTATTGGACGCAAAGCATTGACTCTGCTTTTTCTCTACGGATGCTGCCAGACCTGCTGAGTTTCTCCGGAAATTTCTGTTTCAGATTTCCAGCATCTGCAGTTCTTGGTTTTAATTTACTGCACTATTTTCCTTTCAGTCCCTTCTATTGCCTAGACTGTATCTTTTCCCTTTCAATCTGCATAGCAACATTTATTAGTCTCACCATTTTAATGAAATCTACTTTTATGTTCTTGTTCGATCACTTAAACAGTCTACATCTCTCTCTCTCTTGTCTGTCTCTATTCTCCTAGTAGTTTATTTTCCCATCTAGTATCATCAGCAAACTTGAGGACATTATATTTGATTCCCTCATCAGAGTCATTTATGTGGATTGTTAATCACTAGGGGTCCAAGCACTGATTATTGCTATATTCTAGTACTGGCATGTTACCATTTTTAAAGTACAGTTATTGCCTGGGAGAGTTGTCTTCTAAGCTTTGCTTCAATTGAAAAAGGTGCAATGCCTGGGCATGTGCTTCTTCTTTGAAGAGGACAGGGCTGTATGTATAAGTAAATGTATCTTCTCATAAGTGAGCCATATTATGAGCCAGACTGATCATCTTAAATTGGTTGTTAATGTATTTCTTAGAACACTCATGATTGTTTAGCAAATGCTGTCCAATTGTAGAATTACATATAATTTTGAACACTCTTTTGTGTTTTACAAACATGAGTTGGTTGGGTGCAGTCGGTTCACTGTCTGTTGTTGAAGCTACTGCTAGTGTGTTGCGATGTTCATAGGGGCTGTGCGCCCAAAAGACAGGTGGATTATATCAAACCACGTGTCCTTTGACAGTTCACACAGACAGACAGAATATTGACTTTACTCAACCAACCCATGCTTCTAAAACTCAGAGGAATCACCATTACGTGAAGAATTATATTAACAACCAAATCTAATTGTCAGTCAGGCTCACTCTCTCTTGCGAGAAGGGCTATATATTGATATATAGGGCCATGTCCTTCTCGATCAAATTGAATATGCCCAGGCCCAATGTGGCCTTTGAATCAAACAAAAGCTTTGGAGAAGTGCATTATCTGTAGCAATGACTCCACCAATCAGAGTCAACCAGTCAGCACCCCTTTTTCTTATGGTTGTAAATTGCTGATCTCTTTGTGTGTCTGTCCTGATGAGTGCAGGCCAGAAAATTTAGTATTATTCATATTTCAGAAATTACAATTTTCTTCATAATCAGAAATATTGGCCCATGTGATCTAGCGAGCATCGACCTTGAAGCATTGCCAACAGGAAGGATGTCAACATATCATAGTCAAGTAGCAGACAAAAGAAGGCAACAGACAAGTATGAACTACAGCAGTGGGAGAAGAGAGAAGCTGTCAATTGGATAATTTTAGTGCTGGTGTTTCAGTTATGCTGAAGTTGACTGGAACATTTAATGGTTATTAATAAAGGGATCTGATAAATGAGTCTCTGGGTAATCTGTGCCATCAAGGCTGACATGAACCGAAATAAGGAGGTCCTTTAGGGGTATAATGTTCGGGTACAACCGACCTCGGATGAATTACGGCAGCCACTGAGCGCAACCTGAAGACCAAATCGATCGGGCGTGCAAGTGAGCAGTTCTACACACTGGATGCCGAGTTCCTGAATTTTGGAAATACGCATGATGCAAATGTCTGCTGGCTGTTAGATGTGCTTGTTGTTTTTGTTTTAAAGATATATCTTTGTTGTATAAACTGTTAAAAGTGGCATTTACTTTTTAAATGTATCACTTATCTGTTAGTTACTGTTTGTATTAATTCTGATTTGTGTTAAAGTAAAAGTCTCAAGAAATGAAAACTCATTGATATTCTTTTGGGGGGTTATTTAGTGAATTTTGTCCATGCTTCCCCTTTTGTGGTCATAACAAAGTGTACATAATTTAAATAAATAAATTTGGTGTAGATCTAGTCCTTGAATTGACCACAGAAATCAACCTCCACACAAGGAGTGGGATGAATGCCAGTCAGTATGTCTTGCTGGTGATGTCAATGTGGGGGATAAATATTAGTATTGACACTGGGAGAGTTCTGTAGTGCCATGGAATGTCTTGCATTCACCCAAGAATCTGTGATTTGATGTTTCATCTCACCTTGGACACTCCATCAGTACTGAAATGACACCCTGTTTTGCTTCACGACGGCTCAACGAGCTTCAGGCTTGAAAGGCAAAAGTGTTTCCGTTATCAGGGCGGGCAGTCTTTACAAACACTTCAGGCTGTCTCATTTTGTTCATCTCCCTGAACTTCCAGATTTATAGTAACCAGTGGCAGTGATGGAGATGTTAGGATATGGGAAAGTCTGGATGATGATGATCCCAAATCAATCAACGTGGGCGAAAAAATTTATTCACTGGCTCTCCGGGTATGTGTTTCCTTTTGCATTTTTATGGATTCTTTTTCAAATAATTCTACAGTTACAAATTGTGTATGTCCCAAGTTGACTTGATCTGGTATATAGCAATTTATAATGGATAGACACCCTTCATTTTAATATGTCGCCAGTTCCATTTGGCAGTGACAGTTTTTCAACATTATTAATTTTTTAAAAGTTCTGGAAATGCACCCACGATCTGAATTTAACTACAAAATATTAATATCAGGAGATTGTTGTTAATGGTCATGTAAGTTTTCGAAAGTGGAGGAATGAAAATGTCCTGAATAATTCTTGAATCCTTGCAAGCATTGCAGAAAGATTTGCAGGATGGCACAAGTTGAAAACTTAAAATTCAAATGGTTAGGCGAAATTTGTCATGAAAACAGTGTTGCTTGAATATTTTTCATAATTGCATTTTTGTCTTATCATATTTATTTTGTAATGTTACGTTTATGCATGTGGTACAATTTAATGTGGGTACTTTCATCCAATTATTAGTTTGTTGAAACAATTTATAATTTGTACTTCTCCCTCCCCAAGTGAAAAACCTGAAAGCCACTTGCTCCTATGGTTTTGTAGTGTCTAATGATTATCAGTGGAGTGTATCTAATACAATAAATAACAACAGTAAAAATCTAAAATGAAGTATCATCTGCTTTTACAAAACTAATAGACTTAGAAAAGTAAAGATTCAATCTCAGTTTTATCATGAATGCATATTCTTTACTCAGAGTAGTAAGGGCGTGGAATGCCCTGCCTGCAAAAATAGTAGACTCGCCAACTTTAAGGGCATTTAAATGGTCATTGGATAAACATATGGATGACAATGGAATAGTTTAGGTTAGATGGGCTTCAGATTGGTTTCACAGGTCGGCGCAACATTGAGGGCCGAAGGGCCTGTACTGCGCTGTAATGTTCTATGTTCTATGTTCTAGCTTTTCAACTGCAAGTTAAGAATGAGTAATATTTTTACAATATTTCATAAAAAATAATTTTCTCTCGATGCATGAAGCTGTTAGATTAGATGATCAATTATGATTTAAGGAGATTAATAATTGAAAAATATTTTTATTTCTGCCTTTAGAATGGAATGCTTGTTACAGCTGTTGCTAACAACATTGTTCAAGTTCACTCCTTCCCTGAGGGTTTACCAGATGGTATTTTAACTCGCTTCACTGCTGAAGTGAACCACATCGTCTTCAATACTTCTGCAACCAGTGTTGCTGCTGGTTCCAGGTAATGCAAGATTGGAGAATACTACAGTATTCCAAATGATCACATGTAGCAGATTTTAGGTATTCATTAGCATTGTTAAACATTGCTAATTAGAACTTTTAGAAAGGGAAAGATGAAAGGATACACGTGTAACATTAAAGGTATTTTTGATTTTAAGTGCAATACATTAAAGTTATAACATGTATATGTGTTTTGTTTTCTGTTAATGAGGAAGACTAACATATTTTATTAATGTGGGATCTGAATTGCTTCGAGTTATGTACAAAGTAGGTAATTGCATGGTTATCTCTTGCAGTGACTTCATGGTGAAGATCGTTGAGACCAAGGACAACAGTCAGCAGAAGACGATTCGAGGTCATGAAGGTCCTATCCTCAGTGTTGCTTTTGATCCAAAGGATTTATTTTTGGTAATAAAATATTAGTGAACCTTAATCTATTCAAGATCTACCATAAGTAGGCTATAAAGTGTTTTTAAAGTAAGACTAAAGAATGCTAAAATAGATTTATAATTTTGGTTTCATATTAAAGTCATAAGAAATTGGAGCAGGAGTAGGCCATTTGGGCTTTCAAATAAGCATCACCATTCGATAAAATCATGGCTTGGGTTAATCTTGGCCTCAACATCACACTCCTGCCCCCAGCACTAAAAAAAACTTGACCTATTTACATCAAAAATCTGTCCAATGCAGCCTTGAATATATTGAATGACTCAGCCCCCTCTGGTCTGTGGGGTATAGAATTCAGAAGATTAATGACATTTCTGAGAAAACAAATTTGCCCTCAACTCTTCTGAGACTACTCTGGATTCTTTCCCATGAGGAAATATCCTCTCAGCATCTAACCTGTCAAGCCCCTTAAAAAATCTATATGTTTCAATAAGATGACCTCTCCTACTCTTATGAACCCCAAATATTGGCCCAGTCTCCTCAATTGTTTTTCAAAAGGCCATCACTCATCCCAGGAATCAACTTTTTGATTTTTTTGTTTTGAAACGCTTCCAATTCAAATATATCCCTTCTTAAATAAGGAAATATGTTTCTGTTTAATCACTGTGAAGATTTTGGTAATTTTACTTAATGAGGTCTCCCCACACTTGTGACAGTTGTTGGAAGACTTCCTTACTTGATTTTACAACCCGTATGTAATAATGGCCAACATTCCATTCGCCTTCCTAGTTACTCTCTGTACCTGCACACTACAGTCTTGTGACTCGTGCATAAGGGCACTCAGCTCTATCTAACACCATATCCTATGATGTCTCTTTGTTTAGGTGATATTCTGCTTTTCTATTCTTACCACAACAGTGACAAACCTTGAATTTTTTAATATTATCTGACCTGACGTATCTATAGGATTTAGTGCACTCTTTGTGTCCTCTTTCTAACTTGCTTTCATACCTAGTGGAAGGAGCTTATTCCTGCTTATTTGAATAATGTGGATAAAGGAGAGTCTGTGAAATTGGTGCATCTGGGTTTCAAAAAGACATTTAACAAGTGCCACGTCAGAGATTGATGTGCAAAATAAGAGTCCGTGGTGGAAAGGATTGCATATTAGCATGGGTAGGGATTTAGTTTGGTGATTGCTAAGATTAATCCTGAGGTTTTATCTTATGGTGACAGGTTGGACATTTATCAATTAAAATTAAAAGTCGCAATCTTACTGGAACATACAAGGGGACTTAACAAAGTGTTTCTTCTGAAAGGATGTATCTTGTGGGAGAAACTAGAACTTGAGTGCATAATTTTCAAAAAATGATTTTCCCGTTTAAGACAGACATGAGAATTTGTTTTCTCTCGGTGAGTCATGAATCTGTGGAACCCTTTTTTTTCAGACACCTTTAGGAATTGGGTCATTTGAATATTTTTAAGGAGAAGTAGGTAGATTTTTGATTAACTGGGGAGTCATAGGGTTTAGGGGGTAGGCGTGAAAGTGGAGTTAAGGCCATAGGTGGATCAGCCATGATCTTATTGAACTGGGGAGCGGGCTCAAGGGGCCAAATGGCTTACTTTTGCTCATAGGTTTTATGTTCTGACTTTGTGTTATCAGCAAATCTGGCTACAATACACTCTCTTCCCTTCATCTAAATCACTGATATATGGTGTAGATAGCTGTGTCCCCAAAACTGATTCCTGTGGCACCTTGCTAGTTACTGTTAACGTAGACAAGTTGGTGAAGTTAGCAGATAGGTGGCAGATGGAGTTCAGTGCAGAGAAGTGTGAGGTGATGCATTTTAGTGGGAAAAACATAAAATTACACCTTCTATTTTATGCTGTCTTTCAAACTGGATTGCAGGAGCGGAGGATGGTGGGGTGTATATGCACAGTTCAGTGAAGGTGACAACACATTGAGAGATCAATTAATAAAGCGTACAGTATCCTTGACTTTATTAATAGGGACACAAAGTACAAGAGCATTTGGGTGATAGTGAACTTGGAGGACAAGCATAGCAGCTCTGGGGCATATAATTCCATCAACATAACAATTATTGCTAAGGCAACGATGTCAGCACTGGCTTCACCTCCATCATTGGATGGATGAGCACCATGTGCCCAACGACCTTCTCTTCAGTGAAATGACCACTGCATTCTGAACTTCTAAATACCCATATCTCTGCTGCAAGGGCACCTGCAAGTGAGATATGAAAATGGAGGTCTTTGAAATTGGAGACAGTTACTGAGCTCTGGAGGCTGACTGGATAAACATTGGAGAGGTCAGCAAAAAGGAAAAGCTCAGCTGGTTAAGAAGTTGGCCCAGAGGGGGATAAAAAACACCAGTGAATCAAGCATTTTTTCAGCCCACTGTCTTCCTCTGCAGCAAATATGGCAGAGACTGCCAAATCAGACCACAGCTCCTGAGCCATACAATACATTACCTAAAATGCATCACCTCACACTTCTCTGCACTGAACTCCATCTGCCACCTATCTGCTAACTTCACCAACTTGTCTACGTTAACAGTAACTAGCAAGGTGCCACAGGAATCAGTTTTGGGGACACAGCTATCTACACCATATATCAGTGATTTAGATGAAGGGAAGAGAGTGTATTGTAGCCAGATTTGCTGATAACACAAAGTCAGAACATAAAACCTATGAGCAAAAGTAAGTTGACTGCTAAGGCA